GTAGCCCTCCCCTATACGGGCTGGATTTGGGGCCCTCTAGGCACCCGTTTGATATCCAACCACGTCCGAATGTATGCGGGAGAAATGAGCTTCGGCCTCGGAGATGATCTTAATCATTTATATGTGTTATAGCCCGTAACAACTTTTTTTTATCGAAGTACATTGCAAGCGAATTAGATTCCAATTACTTTTTTATTTGTTATTACCTATTTTTCTATGTATGTAAAATTTTACATGCAATCAATACAAATTTTCAAATGCCCGTGGCAACGCACGGGCGGTCTATTAGTATTTAAGAAAGACGGAGCCAAATACAGCAAATGATATATCTCGTTTACCGCAAGAAGATGTATCTTTGTCTCGCCTCTGGCGCCCGCTGTGCGATACTCTAACTGGACCGGCCCAATAAAGCGGTTCTGGCAAGGTTCTCTATAGACAAGTACAAATCGGTTTTGAAACTTCCGCATATTTTTCTTGTTCCTTTTTCCTTTTGTGTGTTTTCTTGGTCGGGCTTCTTCAAGTCTTTTCTTGTTTTATTATCTGTGTGTTTTCATTGGTTCTGCTTGCTTCTTTTTTCCACGGTTTCTCTGGTTCGTTTCTTCTTACTACTTCCGTCTCAAAATATATGACGTTTTATAGTCTAGTGTAGACTAAAAAAGTCATATACTTCGAGACAGAGGTAGTAGTTTTTCAAATACATCGCATTTGTTGATACAACTTAAACATTTTTAGATACATGTTGAAAATTTGTTTTCAAATACTTGCCATTTGTTAATACAAGTTAAACATTTTCAGATACATGCTGAAAATTTGTCACATGCACATTGGACATTTTATATATATATAAGTTGGAAAAAATTTTAGACACACTAGAGCATTTTCAGTACACGCTGAACAGTATTTGAAATACATGTTCAGCATTTAATAGATACATGGTGAACATTTTGTCAAAAGCACATTGAAGAATTTTTTAAAATTTTATAATATTTTTTTAAAAACGTGTGAAACCCGGATGATTATTTTTCAAAACGCGCAAAACATTTTTAAGCGTCAGGAACATTTCTTTAAATGCCATGAACTTTTTTCCATATGGGACAAAACATTTTCCAAAGTTACGCGGACATTTTTTTTAGAAATGACACAGACCTATATCTGAAATGCGTGACCATTTTGTAAATCTGATGAACAATATTTGATGATTTGAACATTTTTTTTACAATTTACGTGAATATTTGTGCCTCAGATACGCAGACGCTCCCGCGAAATATCTCTAATTTGAGTTGGACCTGCGGCCCATGCCACGGCCTAACAGCTGAGGCCCAAATAGCTGGCTTTGCAGCGCAATTACACCGCACGCGGTCAAAGGTGGGGGTATTCTGGAAGGCGCGCTCTGTCATCGGAAGCGGTTGCTAAAAAAAAAAGTCATGGCGGCTCTCCGACAGCTGGAACGAGCCCAGTCGCCGAGGAATGGGTTCCAGACACTGATCTGTGGGCCCGCCGATGCACAGCCTGTCATTCGGGTATAAAGTGGACCCATTATATAATGCTCATTCAGAATATAAAATAATCCCAGGCGTGATCCTCGTGGGCCCCACTAGATTGAGTACGCTTTGGGTGTTGTAAGAAAAGTCTAGCTTTTTCTGTGTAGCTAGACCCTGAACATTTCTAGATTTTACAGAACTACCCAACCTGCTGAAACAACTGGTGTATTCACATAACCATGCATTATTTATGGAGAAACAATTGGTGTTGGTTCTTTTTTTTTGTTTAGATTTGTCAAACAACAAGCTGCTGAAAAAAAGAATATTTCCTCCATCCCAAAATTCATGTCTTATATGTGTCTAGATACAGATATATCTAATCACGTTAGATACATTTGTATTTAGAAAAAATCAAGACAATAATTTTGTGATGAATGTACTCTAAACTGGGTCCCCGTGGAGGTCAGCTTACGCTACACTTAAAGGCGAACACAAAACCAAACGAAAACAACGGTCATAGCTTAACGGAGATATACAAACAAACACCGTCCCAAAAGTCACTCCCATCTCTGTAACAAACAAACAAATGAATTATGTCACTTTTCAGGCATCATGCTGCTTCTTCGAAGTTTTCGGGGATTCTCAACGCACATATTTTTCCTAATTGCTTTAGTTCCTGGCAGCTTCTATCCCCCTCCCGTAATCAAGGTGGGACTAAAGTCACTGGCAACACCCAATGGTCAGGTTCTGGTTCTGACATTTTGCTATGCCCTGTTTTTTCTTTTCTCTCAACCGTGTAGTAGGACAGGGTATAAACCAGTAATATTCTGAAACCACGAGGACCTATCTGTAAACATCCTCCCCTGGACCGTAACCGAATCCCTTTTGCGGCCCACCCCGGGAAAGTTCCGTAAATTCCCCCGTTCCGTGGAGACAGCAGCCCAACACCAACAGCAACAGGGAGTACTACTACTAGTACTAGTAAACAAATTTCGGGTGGCCAACAGCGAGGAGGATCGATCTCCAGAGAGATTAATCGCTCCCTCCCTCCCTCCCTCGCGGCGTTTCTTGGATTTGGCTCCGGCGGAGGAACCGGAGCGCCCCGTCCGCGTCTCTCGATCGAAACGCCGGCCCCGTCGCTTCCGCGGAGCTCCCCCGATCCCGTCGCCCGGTGCGGTTCGAATTCCTCCGGCCGAATTGGCGTTCTTGGCGAGAGGCGGGTCTGGATTCTTGATTGGCCGGTCGGGTTGTCTCTGCGGGGAGGCTCCGTCGGCCGGGAATCGCGCCTTCCTAGTCTGGCCAAGGTGAGCGAGTTCTTCGATCGGTTACTTCGGGAGTACAGCTGTTAGCGCTTAGCGGTGGGGATTCTATGCGGAATTCCCCCCTTGTTTATATCGGAATTCAGGAGTGAGTTTCAATGTTTCTTTTGTACTGTATGTGCTAAATTCGGAGTCTTTGTTCGAATCTCTCTGAGTGATGCTGTATTACAGACGAAAAAGAACCGATGCTCTCTCCATTTTCTAAAGAATGCTTACTAATCTTGGTAATTGTGGTGGTCAGTTACCGAAGCATATCATCAAATTGTGCTGCTTTTAATCATGTTGTGTACTTACTACTTTAGTGATCTAAAACGTACTCCCTCCGTTCCTAAATATTTGTCTTTCTAGAGATTTCAACAAGTAACTACATACGAAGCAAAATGAGTGAATCTACACTCTAAACTATGTCTATATACATCCGTATGTAGTAGTCCATTTGAAATCTCTAAAAAGACAAATATTTAGGAACGGAGGGAGTAATACATATGTGATCTAAAACATCTTATATATGCTTACAGAGGGCGTATATGCTACCAGTAGTTTCTGTAGGATCATTGCTCAAATAATACAAGCTGTGCAATGTCATGGCTGCCAATGGCTAAACATCACGACTCTTAATATAACACGCTTCTTTTCGCCAGGGAGATGTGCTAACAAGGGTCTGATGGGGCATGATGGAGGGCAGGAAAGAGAGGGGGAGATCTCATAGAGTGTTTCGGCGGATGGCGATGCAGTGCCTCTGCTCCGGGGAGCAGGCCAATCTGGTGGATGAGCTGAACCCGTCAAATGGCGAAATCGAGTTGTATGCCAAAAATGACGGCCTTCGGGAAGCCGAGTTGTCTCTCCAGGAGGGCGGTTCCCTTAACTATGAGGTTGGTGCTTCATCTTGTAGCATAAATCTTCTCATGACCAACAGCGCCTTTTTTGTTGAATCTGCTCATTTTTTTGAATTCCCTACTGCGATGCCTATATCACGTTTCCCTTTTATGTTTGCTTCATGCCGAATGATACTATATGTGACCGAAGTCCTGGAGCTGTTTATCTGACTGTTTCATGTATTGATCGATTGTCTATTTTTTTCTCCAGAAGTCGGGAATTTTTTAGTCTTAGATTCTGCTGCATCATGTGTCAAAAACATCTGTCTTTGACAGCTCGTGCATGCTTTCTGAAATCATATGTGCCTCTGCCTGCCATTTCTCTTCATTGTAATTCCATATTCAATTTTATGCTAGTTTGTACTTACCATCATATAAATCACAAAACAGTACCTACTCTGAATTTCTGCACCCTGTGTGCTGTAGTACACCAGTCTGCACTTTGTACCACACCAATCTGCAGTTTTTTGTTGTTGGTATGCTCAACTTCTCAAGTGCTTTCACATGTGTAAGAAAGATGCCTTCCCTAATGATTGTAAGCTTGATAGCCGTCCCAATAAGGGTGCTCCATATTTATTTCATTATACTTCATAAGTTTGAATCCCAATAATTTTTCAGGAAGCAAGGGCATTGCTTGCAAAAGTCGAGTACCAACAGGGGCATGTTGAAGAAGCACTTCGTGTGCTTGATGGGATAAACACGGCTGAACTAATTCCTATGGTGAAAATGTCCATCAGTAGATTAGCAAGGGCCGATCCACATTCCAGTTATCCACCAATGTCCTTGCATACTGTTAATCTAGTAATGGAGACCATATATCTCAAAACTATAGCACTTCGTGATCTTGGGAAATTCAAAGGTACGACCCCCACCTCTCGTTTTTGTATGGATGCCCATCATTTGATCTTCTCTTCATTTCTGTCATATTATTTTTCAAACATTACTTGAACTCAATTTCGTTTTGCAGAAGCTGCACAGGAGTGCAGTATGATATTGGACGTTATAGAATCGGCACTCCCTAAGGGCTTACCAACCAAGTTTGGAGATGGTAGTAACTTGAATGCAACAATACGCAGTGCCGTTGAGTTGCTTCCTGAGCTATGGAAATTAGCGGATTTCCCTCCTGAAGTGCTCTCTTCATACAGGAGGGCTCTTCTTAGTAATTGGAACCTCGATGCAAAGGCCATTGGTAGAATACAGAAGGAGTTTGCTATTTTTCTCCTATACAGTGGCTGTGAGGCCTCAACTCCACCTCTTCGATCCCAATTGGATGGTTCATTTGTACCTCGGAATAATTTGGAAGAAGCTATTCTTCTTTTGATGATTTTATTGATGAAATTCAACCTTAAGAGGCTTGAGAGAGACCCAACTGTGATGCATCATCTGACTTTTGCATTGTCCATATCAGGACGGTTAAAACCTCTAGCCGGTCAGTTTGAAAAACTATTACCTGGTGTGTTACACAGCAGAGAGTGGCTGTACAATGTTGCACTGTGTTACCTAGCAGAAGAAGATGATCTAGCTGCCCTCAATCTGCTCAAAATGATACTAAGATTTGGAGAGGACTCCAGTTGTCTCAAAGAACTTCTTCTAACTTCAAAAATTTGTAGCGAGAACGTTGCACATGCTGAAGAAGGTGCATCCTATGCACGCAGAGCCCTTGCTAGTCTCGATGGAGGTTGTGACCAGTTAGAGGTTGTCGCGGACCTTCTACTTGGCATTTCCCTCTCCCACCAAGCTCGATATGCTCCGAGTGGTACGGAGAGGGCTTCTCAGCAGCGTGAAGCACTGAAGGTGCTTGGTGTTGCTGAAAAGAAGATGCAAGGCAAAGATTTTAGGGTACTGTACAATCTGAGCCTTGAAAATGCTGAGCAGAGGAAACTAGATGCAGCAGCTCTTTATGCAAAGAAGTTACTGAAATTGGAGAATGGTTCAGAATTAAGGAGCTGGCTCCTTGTAGCTCGTATCACGAGTGCTCAAAAACGGTTCGAAGATGCTGAATCTATTGTAAATGCTGCCCTTGATCAGACTGCAAAGTGGTGCCAAGGAGATCTGTTGCAAACCAAAGCCAAAATTCAGGCTGCAAACGGGCAATTTAAGAAGGCAGTCGAGACTTATACCCAGCTTCTTGCTGTCATCCAACTCAGGAAGAAAAGTTTCAACTCTGGGCTTTTTGTATTACAGGTAGCTACCTGATAAAAATCGATTTTGGAGTTTTTCCTAATGCATACGACTGTCGTGCTTAATATTTTCCCAGCATTATCTTTCATTTCTGTACTGTATCTATTTGCATGTATGATGACAAACTGAAAACAAAAACCCATATCTGTAAAATAAATAACCTTTTACTATAATAAGAAAAAGCCAGCCCGAACAGTTTTTATCATATCTTTGATTGATGACAGCTAGAATGGCAAGCATCTTACATGATTTTTAAGCATATACATTCAGTTGACAGAATAAATTGCAATGCCCATGTTGGGAATATTGCTTTTGAATAAAAGGGTAGAGCATTATTCTGTTTGCCACATACAGTTATGGGATTCCATTAGAAAAAGAAGTGAGAAGACTTCTCTGATGTCGTTGTTCAACTTTTCGCAGGGCACGAAGGATGATGGAAGCATGGAAACAGAGGCATGGTATAATCTGGCCCTTTTGTACCTAAGCCTGTCACAATGGAGGGATACAGAGCTTTGCATATCGAAAATAAAAGCCACCAGTGCATATTCTCCCTTGGCTTATCATGCTACAGGTGCTTCATATTCTCTTTAATACTAACTTCCCCATTCTCAAGAATCCTAGAACCGTGTTGACGCAAAAACATTTTCAGTAGCTCACAAGGAGACAACAATTCTTCACCGGAAAACAAAAAAATCATTCTTAATATTTACCGAAGATGTTTATCCATGCAGGAAAGCTACTTGAAGCAAGAGGGTTTCTAAAGGAGGCTTTTGGAGCATACTCCAAAGCATTAGATCTCGACCCTAAGCACGTACCGAGTTTGATATCTGCCGCCATTGCTCTTCGACAGCTTGGAGGGAGGCCCTTGCGTGCCGCAAGGTGCCTCCTAACTGATGCGCTGAGACTGGACAGAACGAACCATGTTGCATGGTTTAACCTCGGTCTAACCTATGAAGATGAAGGGGGCAGTTCATCAGCAGCACTTGAAGCTGCCGAATGTTTTCAGGCGGCTGCCCTTCTCGAAGAAACCGCCCCGGCTGAACCTTTCAGATAACATCGCATCCAACTTTTATAGGGAATAATCAAACTGTAAGCAGTTGTAGGTCTCATATATAGGATGAATAGTGGGTTTGAAGAAAAGAAGTATACACGGTACAGAAAATAGTGAAAGTACAAACACATGTATCATCATAATTGCGTTGATTTTACCAACATGTTGAAATTATATATAGCATGACACACTTCCCTGGCAGCTCTTGTTTAACAGGCAACTTTTTTCCATGTGATTTACAACATCTGGTTTGCAGTCTGTGCTTTAAGTAGCTTCTCATTCCTATTTTCTTTTTGTTTTCCCTTCGCTATTTCTTTCGCTGTTTTTCTTTACTTTTTTTATTTTTTTTCCTTTTTCTCTTCTCTTTTTTCCGAACCTCTCTTTAAATTCATGTTTCTTTCATATTCATGAAAAATTTCAATTTCATTTTTTTTCTTCATATTATTGGTTTTTAAAATTGGCAAACTTTTTAGAAATTCGTGATTTTTTTCAAACTTGTGATTTTCTGAATCCGTGAATTTCATTAAATCCAGTTTTTTTTTTCAAATTTGTGAACCTTTTCGTATCAAAGAACTTTTTCAAATTGAGGAACTTTTTTTCAAATCCATAAATATTCATTAAATGAGTGACCATTTTTACAAAATCCACAAAATGTTTTTGAAACTCATCAATGTTTCTCAAATTAATGGACTTTTTAAATCTCAAGTTTCTTTTAAATCCGTGATTTTTTTTTTCAATTTCACAAACTTCGTTTCAAATTCATATTTTTTCTTCAAAATTACACGGTTTTTTTGAAATCATAGTTTTTTCAGTGCACACCTTTTCCAATTAAACTATACTAAACTGGTGGCCATGATACTTAGCGAACGTGCCTCGTGAAAGAGCGAGGAGGTACGAGAGGGATAGGTGGCACTTTTGGGCTGCTTATTTGGCGCCTGAAGAGCCGGTTTATAGTGTTTTTGCAAACCGGCGCCTTCACATGCACACTACCCTCGTGCGGCTGGCCCATTAACTCATTTTTCTCGTTTTAAGACAACGAAAATGTTGTGGTGCCCCACGAGACTCGAACCGCGCTCGTTCCGATATAGTATGGATCGACTAACCAACTAGGCAACCCGACCTCATGTGATAGATTCGTTCTACTCCCTCCGTCTCAAAATAAGTGACTCAACTTTGTACTAAGTTTAGTAAAAACTTATTACAAAATTGAGTCAAACTTAGTACAAAGTTGAGTCACTTATTTTGAAACGTAGGGAGTATTTCTTAAAATACAACACTGGAGAATGCACTGTTTTGTGTTTGGTCCTCCTTTTCTCTTTCTTTTTTTGTCCCTTTCTATTCTTTGCTTTATTTTTCTTTTCGTGAATGCACGAACTATTTTAAATTCTTGATGTTTTTTGAAACTCATGAAGTTTTTCTTCGGAAATGGGTGAACTTTTTACCAAAACTGATATTTTTTGTCAAAGCTCATGAACATTTTAAAATTTGGTGAAGTTTTTCCCAAATTGGAGGAACTTTTTTCAAAATTACTGAACTTATTTTTCAAATTTTAAGAAACTTTTTGAAAATTGATGAATTTTTTTAAAATTTGATGCTATTTTATTTTTGATGAACTTTTTTGAAATTTGATGAACTTTTTCATTTTTATGATTTTTTTTTAAAATCGATGAAAATTTTCAAATTCATAAACTTTTTTCAAAATCAATGAACATATTGAAATTTATGATTTTTTTAGGTTTTCACATTTTTTCATTTTTTATTAAAGTCAATGGTTGACAATTCAGCGGCTGACCGGTCAACCCGACCAGTCAGCAGCGAACCTGCCTAAAATATTAGTAGCAAACCAATCGAAGCAGCGACCAACATTGAACGAGTGCCGAGTGAGTGAGCGCGTGTTGGGCCGGCGCAAGTCACGGCTACGTGAGCGCCCCTTCCGCGAACGGGCGCCTGAAGCGTCGTATAGGAGCTCCCGGAGGTCTCCGGAGGGACTCCCCTAGCGAACCATTTTCGTTCGCTTGAACATTCCCATGGAACAATTTGTTCGCACAAGAATCTGCTTAGGCAACGCGTTCACCCGATATTATGGTCCAAAAAAATAAAACTCTCATTTAATAACTGTGCAAACATGATGATCAGCTACATACGAATACGATCAACATAGTTTACCATTTATTTTTAATTAGTTATGCATGCATACACCGTTTTGGGCAAGTTGTATGGCCGGCTCTCGTAATGCTGTTCGTGGACGGGTCCGTATGAGTCCACAGACAAATAGTGTGTTTGTTTGGAGGGTCGGCATGGAGATCGATGATCACGATCTGCAAAGTTTGCCATTTATTTAGAAAAAAAAGACCTCTTTGACTAGGTATGCATGCATGCACCGCCTCCAGATTTTCACGGAAGTTGATTGACAACCATTCCCATCTGGACTTCTGGAGTCGGCGGCGCCGACATCGTCGCCCCGCTAGCCTATAAATACCCCCCGTGGCGGCATCCGCCGCATCCAGGCCACCAGATCGGCTCGATCATATCGCCACGCAAAACCCACCCCAACCCCCCAAGATCGATCGATCGATATGAAGATGGTTCGTCTCTGCAGCTCCGACGGCGAGGAGTTCGAGGTGGCGGAGGAGACCATCGTCGCGGCGTCGGTGATGATCAAGGACATGCTAGAGGACGGCGAAGTCGCCGTCGGCGTGATCCCGCTCCCCAACGTGACCGGTCCCATCCTCTCCCGAGTCCTCGACTACGTCAACAGGCACTTCTCCGACCCCCACGACCACAAAACCTCGTCCTGCCCCGCCGCCGACGACCCCCTCAGGCGGTTCGACGACTCCTTCGTCCAGGTCGACCAGGACACCCTCTTCGACCTCATGCTCGTAAGCAGCCCTCGCGATCTCTCCTAGCTTCGATTCGATCTAGTTAACTAATTGCTAGATCGATTGACCTGGAACCCCCGACTTACGTTCATGCATGCAGGCTGCCAATTACCTCGACATGAAGAGCCTGCTCGACCTGACGTGCAAGACGGTGGCGGACCAGATCAGGGGCAGGACCCTCGAGGAGATCCGCAAGAAGTTCAACATCGTCAACGACTACACCAAGGACGAGGAGCAGGAGGTCCGCAGGGAGAACTCGTGGGCATTCGACTAATCGTCGTCTAGCTTAGCCGCCTGTCCACTAGATCATCAGCGCGTAGGCTATCTATCGATCGATCCACGGTTTTGATGGGCGTGGTTACTTGATCTAGAGTAGTAGGAGTACTATATATTATTTTGGCTAGGGAGTACTATATATGTTTTGGCTCTCTATCATATGCGCTTTCTCACTCTTCAAAGCAAATCAACGGGGTGACACATGCCTACGTGAATGTGCATTCATAATTGGAACAAACTAGTATATATAGGGAAGCACACGACGCATCAGACACACTCAGAGATTCTCACCAGTTCAACTCAATTTCTAGCTCCCTCTACATTTAATTTAGGCAAGTGGTGAATAAATTTTATACTAATTGGTGAGTTTCATTGGAGGCCATGCATCTTATCTAATACTCCCAAACGTCTTATATTTGTTTACAAAAGGAGTACTAGTTTGTGTTGATTCTTTTTGACTCTTAAAAATCTAAATCTGGAATGCCCAACCCCCAATCCTTGTGGGAAAACAAGAGAGTAACCTATTTGGCCAATCTATGTTTCTTTGATGTTGGCCAATCTCTATTTATTACGGTTTCTCTTGATTCTTACTGACTTGACTTGATTTTGGGCGTAGTCGTCGTCCTATGCCTCCTCCTCCTCCTTGGCTCCGGTCCGCCTCAATGCGGCGACGCCATTAATGAGAGGAGGCGATTAGCAGCTGTATTTCCCATCATCTCACAAATAGGATTTTCTTATCATGTGGGACACCGACATTCTCGCTTCCGCTTCGACGACGCCCCGCTTTCACAGTTGCTTCCCTTTAAGGCAGTACATGCCCCCTTGGCACCCACTACTATTCACCTCCCCTCCTCTTTGTCCATGCCAGCGTCAAGCTTTCTAGCCCCTCTCTTGGTGGACACGGTAGGATATGGTTTATTCTAGGTGAAGGCATGGAAGAAGATGGTCAGCTACCGACGATGTGGGCGAGAGAGAAGAGGGATATGGCGGTAGGTGAGATTTCATTGGAGCAGAGGCCACTATAATTGAGGGCCATGGGGCAAAATGTGAGGGCCCAATTTTTTTCTAAGAGTTGTACTATGTGCCTTGTTGAAGCACTAATTCGAGGGCTACCGGGTTCCATTGGTAATTAACCATTAGTTACTAATCTTTTTTTGTGGGAAACTTTGGAAGCTTTATTCAACAAAAGCGGCACTCGAGCAGTCAACTAGAAGACTGCTGATGAGAAACAAAGGTACACATTCTATCCAGATGTGAGTAACCATCAGCTTACAAGCACGCTTAGCATAAAGATGGAACCTCAAAGGCTTTGCACAGACAACACCTTGTCGCAGTGATAATGCCTCCATGATCAAGGGATCAGTAACCCCTTATGCTCCAAACTGGCCGGCGATCTTGCAACACCACATGCTTCTCCTAATCGATCACCCATGCTACAGCAAACATTGGTAATTTTTTAACACACATTGACAAATGTTCTGATTGCTTGCAAAGTATCACCGTGGAAGATGTGGCAAAAAGAAAAAAATCAATGCTCAAAAAAGTTATTTTCAAGAGCATTTTGGAGTGCTGAATTTTTTGCAAAGATTTCCAGAAATGTCATTTCATACTGAAACTATGCAAGCATTCAAAATATTTGTCAACGTTTTCAAAAAAATCATTTTTGAATTTCTTGAGACTTTATTGTTCAAGTTCGTCATTTGAGCTCGAGCTAGGACAGTTTCGCTTCTCATAGCATCCTCTAATTCTCTAGCTATTTGGCTTGACAAAGCATGTGAGGCCCTCGTCCCTCAACATTGATGTGCTGAGTTCCAAGTAGGGTTAGCACTACAATGATACTCACACTCG